TGTACAACTTTGTTTGGGGAGGAGAAGAGGGGGTACATAATGGCACAGGCTAAATCTATGGAACGAGAATTGCTGAGCATGAGATTGTTTAATTAAAGATAACAAAAATTAACACACAAATATAAAAACAAAAAGAATGAAAAGAAAAAAAAACAAAAAACACACACACACACACACACACACACACACACACACAGACTCGCAGAAAGCAATTGAAAGAAAGACCAAACCAGAGCGCCCGCCAACCACTCATTACAAGTTTAATAGAAGTGATATCTAACTAGTAAGCCTATTGCCCGTTTGCTCACTTTTCAGTTATACACCACCTTGTCTGCAACCCACTCGACGCCACTGCTTATTAGTTAAGTTTGATTTAGCTATGTACGCCACTGCCCATTCCCACACTACAAGTTACCCACCTACACACACACACACACACACACACACACACACACACACACACACACACACACACACACACACATGCGCGAACGTGCATACTTACTGGCCAAGCGAACTTATGTATCATTTGAATTTGAAGCAGAAGATTAAGACTGTTGCCTGTATAGATCTATTATCTGTCCCCGAGGTTTTATGCACAAACAATTCTGAAATTATGCAAACTGCATGAGCCCAAAAATGTTCAATTATGCGATTCTGTTAATTTTAACAAAAAATGATAATGGAAAATAATCAGAAATTATGCCCCAAAAAACCACCAAATTTTGCTAAATTATGCGGGGTGCATAAAACCACGGGGACAGTATTATGCTGCTGTTCCTTGATACCAACAGGTAATTGTTGTTGTTGTTGTTGTTGTTGTTGTTGTTGTTGTTGTTGTTAGCGATCCTGTAGCATCTGAGTATTCTGAGCGTTAACTCTTCTGCATGATGCCATTCGGTAATAGCTGCATGTCTGTTCTCACTGTTGTCTTGGGGAGTAGAGGCAATTAGATGTGTGGGGTAGCTTGGGAAGAAAACATCCCCTAAAATCAGTTAGTTTTCTACAGAAGAACAGATGATGTTCCACTGTCTTATAGTAGGCAGGCAGCAGACTGCTTTATTCCAATTCGGTTGAAATGTTGGTTGAGGGGTACATGTTGTGTTCGAAGTTGGAAGATTATGGATTGATCTCCCCTCTTCAACTCATTGATTGGATCTTTGATCAGTGGTTTATTCGTGTGGCCATACAACATCCTTCCTGTCGTACCTGTGGCCCAATCATTCATCCAGTCTTCCTTGAGGTTTGACTTGATCATTTGGCAGCAGGTGGTGTAATCAATAGGAATTTCAGGCTGATGGAGGCCAGTTCCTTTCTTTGCTAGAGCATCAGCTCTTTCATTTCTCGGTATCCCAGTGTGGGCAGGAATTCATTGTAGGACTACTCTGACTTGGGGCCTACTTATCAAATTATGTAGACTCCAAATCGAGTGTAATATATCTTTGTTCACATCAGTCCCAGTCTCAAGTGTCTCTAGTGTTGAAAGGCTGTCCGTAAAGATAACAATGTCTGTGGTAGCAAGTGGGTTAGTGTCAAACAAGTAGTTGATGTAGTTTGCTGTGTTGGTGATAGCCTGTTGTTCGGCAATAAAATTGGAGCAGAAGGACCCGATGGAATTAAAGACTTCTTTTTTTTTATCCTACTGGGAAAGTTGATCACTGACCCATATCCAGCGTTGATTGTTGCCTTAAAGGCAGATCCATCAGTTTATGAGTGAATCCATGTTGTTTCAAGGGCAGAATATTTTAGTGCCACAGGATATGTGTTTTTATTGCTCTTGTCCAAAAGTGTTTTCCTAATTTCTGGCTTTGCTATGGTGAGATGTGGTGGGAGAGTTGAGGGAACTCTTTCCAGAGGTTCTCGTCTTTCAGGAGGAGATTGAGGACAGTATCAAGTACAGATTTTGTATTTTTTAGTCTTTGATTAGGTTTCCACTTGTCAACAAGAATTCTATTAGGGTGGTTATTTTCTAGCCTTTTAGATCTTTCATAAATTCTAAAGTTGCCCGTTTTCTTCGAGTTTCTAATGGCTCAATTTTTGTGTGGACTTCACAGGCCGCAGTCGGTGAGGATCTCATTCCGCCATAAATAGGACGAAGAGGTTGGTTTTGGATTGCGTCCATTGAGTTCTTTGTAGTTTTACTGCAAATGTTTTGTAGAACAAGATTATAATCAAAAACAACTCTAGTATATCCTAAATAGAGGCCTCTCAATGTGTTCTTGTCTGATCCCCAGTTGGTACTGGCTAGTCGTTTGATAAGATTAAGTCTCTTCATAGCCCTCTTCCTAAGGTTGTTGGTGTGTTGTTTCAGTTTGAGCTTGCTGTCAAGTTATACTCCAAGATACACTGGGTTATTCTCCTTTTTCAAGTTGGTACCATCTATTTTGAGAGGGATTACTGCATTTGCAAGGTTACAGCTTCTCGTAAAAACAGAGTAGACAGGTTTTTTTTCGCAATTTACTTTCATCTTCCATAAACGGCAATAGGTTCCTAGGGATTTTAGATCATCTTGTAGTCTTCGTCTGCTTATTGTTGTCGAGTTTCCAGTGTGCCAAAGGACCAGGTCATCAGCAAAAAGGGCTTTTTCTGGTTTGAGAGCATCTGAAACATCATTGAGGAAGACAAGGAATAAGGTACGGCTGATAGAAGATCCCTGTGGGAGTCCTTCCTCAAGTACTGCTTTTGAAGATAGGGTTTTATCCATCTAGGTCTGGATAAGTCTATCTGTAAGGAATGATTTAATCCAGGAGTACATGTTTCCCTTGATTCCCATGTTCTGCAGTTTTAAGAGAAGTCCTTTCCTCCACACTCTATCGTAGGCTTGTTGGAGATCCACAAACACAGCCGTTGTCTGTTCCCCTCTTTGAAATCCATCAATGATTTTCTGTGTGAGCCTGAAGAGCTGGTCTTCTGTCCTGCCTTTTGACCTGAACCCTGCTTGACACTGTGATATCAGACCTGAAGACTTGAGCCACCAATAAAGACGAGAATTGAGAATTCTTTCACAGAGCTTGCCAATACAGGACGTGAGTGATATTGGATGGTAGTTTTTAGGGTCATTTGCCTTCTTTCCTTTCTTTAAGATTGGGTTTATAGTAGCTAGTTTCCATGCTTTAGGCAGATTTCCCTCAGTCCATGTTCTGTTGTAGAGCTTAAGAAGTAGCAATTTGGCTTTTTCACCAAGATTTTGTAACATCTCATTGTGTACTTTATCAGGACCTGGGCTTTTTGGCATCTTCAGTTTCTTGATTGCACAGTCCAACTCTCCCTTAGTTAAGAAGTCCTGGAAGATACTCGGTGTCATCAAGTCTCTCTCTTTTCCTTTCAGAACACTCAGTAGACCCTTGTCCAAGTCATTCCTTTTGCTCCTTTTGCTAATGGAGGCAAAATGTTTATTGAAGTGTTCGGCTTTTTTTAACTGGCTGGTGAGAACTCCGGTTTCTGTGTCTAGTGGTATGGAGTTTTATTTCCTTTTTTCGCCAGTGAAGTTATTTAGAAGTGACCAAGCTTCCCGTCCATATCTTGATGTAAATTGAGTCCCTCAGACTTCTGTGTCCAGGCTTCCTTTTTAGATTCCTTAGTGACAAGTTTAGCCTCTTCTATGGCCTTTTTGTATCTAATTTTCTTGTCCATATTTTTTAGATCTTTCTCGTATTCATGTCTGCCATCATTTTTAGTTTTTGTAGCTTTCTCCAAGCGCTCATTCCAAAAGGGTTTATAGTTGGCTCTGCACCCCTGTGGGATACTCTTCTTTACAGCATCTAAGATGGCGGAGGTGAGTTCACTATTAAGGGCGTCTATACTTTTATAGTCTAGATCATCCAGTTTCACTGTGTCCTCAGCTATTTTTTCTGAAGTTCCAACGGGTTCTTCTTTTCCTTCGTCTGTGTTTCAATATAATATTGATTTTGGTGAGAATGGGACGATGGTCACTAGATATGCAGTCTAGCACCTCTTCCCTGCAGTAGTTGTTTAAATCAGCAGAGACCAGGGTGAGATCTGGTCTGTGGAGGGTCCCATGTCTCCTATGAAGAAGTGTTTTGGTTGAATCCTCATCTTGAAGAAGGATAAGGTTAGAGGACTGACATAGTTCTTCAATCGTCTTACCTGGGTTGTTTTGGTCTGCATAGCCCCAAAGGGGGGAGTGTCCATTAAGGTCACCAGCTATGACCGTCTTCTTAAAGATAGTAACTCTGTTCCATGAAGTTCAGAGTGCTGCTTGGGGGGCAATAGATGTTATAAAGTATGAGCTTGCTGTTGCCATACCACAGGGTGACTGTATGTGTGTCAGTGGGGTGCCAATTAAGGAGCTCTACTTCACCCTGGATATCATTTCTGATATATATATATATAAAGGTTATAATCCCTTGGCAACCTTAACATACATGGATAAGGGGTATACCCAGTGATGTTTATGTCACAGGATGAATGGAGAGTTTCCTGTAATAGAGAAATGTGGACTTCCCTTTCATGCGAAATTTTCCCCAATTGTGTTTTCTTCTTGTCCAAGCCACAGACATTTGCCTGAAGAATATTGAAGTCTATAAGCTTCTCTTTTCCGTTTCCAGTTGTAGGGGGTGTTTTCTTCTTGTTTTTCCACTTTCTCTGCTTTCTGATTTTCTTTTTCTTCCAATAACCATCCACCAGGTCAGCTTGATTGCCCACTAAGACCTGGGGGGAGACCTTGATTACCGAGGCGGCGTCTCAGCTCGTATGGGATTCTATCATTTGTGAATAGCACCTAATACTGGTGGTTCTGTAATTTTCCTTCCTTCCATCCCGGGGTAGGAGATAAAGCAGTGGCTGTAGGTGCAATGCCACAAACAAAAACCCAACTCCATCACAGAGAGACCATAAGAAAAATGAATGGGTATGTTGGTGTCTGTTGTAATATATTGAGAAGTTGTTTGAGGAGATAAAGAAGAGAAAGACGCTATTAAGAGCATAGTTTCTGTGTGTTGCTGAAATACAATAATAATAATAATAATAATAATAATAATAATAATAATAATAGTAATACCAATTGGAAGCTAGACCCCCCCCCCTCCCAGAGCAATCAAGTCCTCTCATTCCAGAGATAGGGGCAGAGGAAGGCATGACAGGTCCCAGAGGGTTAATGTTGTCAACAAGCAAGACGCAAATGGTCTCTGCACCTTCTCCGCAATCATAGGGCTCTCCGATAAATGCATGCTTACTACATGTATGTAGCTGGGTATTCCCTACGTAAAGTCACATCCAGTACAGTGCTGACAATGAGCCTTTGCTTCCCACCCCACCAATACCCGTCCCAACTCCAGGTGAAAGAAAGATTGTCAATGGAGAGAGGAGAAAAGAAAATTGATAATAATAATGAGAATAATAATAATAAAATGTAATAAAGTAAAACAATAAAAACAATAAATAGAAAGAGTAAGATACATAG